GATCACCTCCCTGTGCGTTTGTTGGCTTCGCGCTCGGTAGATTGCAGGACACTACTGAGCCCCCCCACCACGACAAGGTGAATGCACGTTGGGGGGGATGTCACAACTCCCTGTTTGTTAAGGAATGCAGCTAACTTCATCATGTCGCTTTTATCTAACTTCATTATGTCGCTTATTGGCTGTCAGTGTGTGCGCGCATCGTAATAATTTTACTTTCATATTTTTTCTAAACATGCCAAAAGAAATATAACTTCAAAAATATTCTATATTAAATATGTATTTTACGTATCGAAATATCGTCCCCTTTCTGTGTAAACCTCGTAACTCCATTTTTTTCGAAATTGAGATTTTTAGCTAAAATCACTCCTTAGCACTCTTGTAACGTAAAACAAAACATGCAATGTTCATAATGTTGATAGAATTTTTTTTAGAGGCTTTCGATTTTTCTCGTATCTACATGTTCGAATTCAAAAACCTCGTATCTACCGTAAGTATCGCTGAAAACGTTAAGATGGCGTTGTTGTCTTATTACTAAATGTTTGTAAACATGTTCACACTTAAGTTGACTGTATTTTGTTGATTAACATTTATTTTTTATTCATATGAATACATATAAAATTATTAAAATTTGGTAAAATTTGAGACAACTATTTATCAGAAATATTTAACTGTTGGTCATACACAAATGGAGTGCGACTCTGTTCATTCATCTATTGAAAGAAAAAAGAAAAACAAGGAACTCTACATGCCAGCAGATTTTGTTCGCATCATCAAAGAAGCTAGAATGAATCCAGAGCCATATAAAGTTATTTATGTTGATCACACATTTTTTAAGGATTTTTCTAAAATAAATATTTACAAATCGATAAGACCCGGTTCAAAAACAGGAGATCCACAAGTTACTGATTTAAAATGTCTTAAATACGATTCAACTGGGCTGTATTATAAACTCGATTACCAGAACGATTGGACCTTATTACCTCAAAAAAATCTAGAATAAATGTAAATCGAAAAAATATTATCACTCCGTTATATAAAAAACCGATTTCTATTACATCAAGAAAATTCAAAGATTTGCAAAGTTTGAAAAGATTGCTACCCCAAGATTATCATAATTTCTATGATCAATTAAAAGTCGAATCTACTGTAGAAGAATAAGTTTAAAAAATTGTAAAATTGATCCTTACTTCTTAGTTCTAGTTATAGTTCAAGTTATTTCTTATTACTTATTTTTCAGATTATCCTGCTGTTAATTTGTACATTATTCAATAAATTGTAAACATACTTGATAAAAATAATTAAATCATAATATTATAAATAGTAATCATATGATTTATAACACATTAAATCAAAATCAAATGAATTTGTTTTAATTAATAAATATAAAATAATAATGAATTGAATGTGAAAGCCTTGCATAACAAAATTTTTCGCCAATGATCTTATAGAAAAAAAAATTAATTTCAAAACCTCGTATCTGCAAAAAAGTTACCAGGGTATTTGATGAAAAAACTCGTATCTACGTTAAATTGATAATAACAACAAGGTATCGATGCAGATAGCAAAAATGATGTTTCATTATTTTAAGGTGATAAATAAAGAGTATAAATTTTAAATTAGTTATATCTTTTTACGAAAATTAAGTAACTCTAAACGTTTTTATCGATTTACTGAAAATTAAGATTTTGTAGATACGAGGTTTACACAGAAACGGGACGATATATTCGATTTGCTTTGCATCGGCTGGCACCGACTTCGAAAATATCTGATTAGGTATCTACTATCTATTCTAAATGAAGACCTCCGTTTAGTTATTTTTTCCATTTTTAATGTAGACGTAATAAGCAGGTAATTTGTAAGAAGAAAGTTTTTAATAACATATTCGATTAAGCAATTTATTTAAAAAATATATTTATTGTTGATTTTTTTTTAAAACCGCTTTACTGATTTCGATAAAATTTATATGGGACTATTATACCTAGGAAGTATACCCTTTGAAAAATCCCTTTCCAAATCGGTTCAGGCGTCTTCGAGTAATCGGTGAACATACAAGAAAAAAAAAGATTCCGACGAATTGATAACCTCCTCCTTTTAGGAAGTCAGTTAATTAAATCTATACATAATTATAATAAAATTGTAACTAAGGCGAATCTGCACATTAAATATTTTTTTTAAAATCTTATTGAAATAAACATTATTATTGATACACATGCCGAATCTACAGTTTTTTGAATTTTTGTCTGTCTGTCTGTTTATCTGTTATCGCATCACAGAAAACCCACTAGAGGGATTTTGATGAAATTTGGTATGGTGATAGCCGGCTGTCCGGGTCAACATATAGGATACTTTTTACCGCGGGAAAATGTCTCATTTCTGAGAAAAAATACAAAAACTGCAATATAAGAGTATATTAATATGTAAAACCGAAGAATTAGTTTTTGGTCATCTGAACGCGGGCGGAGCCGCGGCAATGCTAGTTTTAAATAAAATGAAAAAAATCCATCCTCGTTGTATATACAGGATGGCCCAAAATAACGTTGGCAAGTGATTTTACGAATAAGTTTATTAATTTTAAACTTAAATGAAATTATGCTATAAATTATAAAAATACAACTTATTTTTACAAGAATCCCTATTTGTCTTCAAAAAAACCGCCTTTAGCGCGAATGCATAGAGTCAAATGCTTGATAAAATTTTCAACAATTTTCCGCACTTCCTCAACAGATATTTTGTCCCACTCCCGTGTAAGAGTAGCCTTCAGGTCATCAACAGTTCTATGAGGCGTAGAACTGGTCCTTGCCTCTAAGATTAACCATAAACTGTAATCCATTGGTTTCAGATCAGGTGAGTAGGGTGGCCATTCTTTTGAGCTGATGAAATAAGGGAAATTGCTTTTGCACCACTGTTGAACACTTAAAGCCCTGTGAGCTGGAGCAAAGTCTTGAAGTATCCATGGATGGTTACCAAAGTGCTGTTGACTCTAAGGAAGAACCACAGATTCAAGGATGTCTCGTCGGTAAATTTCTTGGTTAATTTTGATACGAAAAAACGAGGGGAGTTTTGCCAATGGGGCAAATTGCACCCCAAACCATAATTGATTTTGCGTTTTGGCGACGTGGAATGACTGCAGCACTCCAGTACGAGTGAAAGACCAGATCCTGTCATTTTGGTGATTATGGGCTTGTTCTCGTTGTTTTAGGAAACGACATCTCTCAAAGCGAACTTTTTTGTCTTTTTTTTTTAAGCAATTGCGCTTTTCTGAGTTTGTATGGTATCAATTGGAGATCATATTTCACTATACGCTCCACGGTGGAGCGACTTATCCCCAAGTCTCGCGATATTTTTCTCACCTTGGTATGTGGATCTCGGACTTATCTTTGTTTGATAATGTGTTGGTTCCTAGCAGTTCGAACAGGTCGCTTTCGTCCTCTCCCAGGACGGTCTACGATGTTGCCGAGCTCAACATAGCGTTTAATTGCTGAAGAAACTAAACTAAACGATTAACACCAAGAATGTTTACTATCTTACACTGCCGTTTTCCATGCTCATACAATGAAATTATGGCTCCACGCTGCTCTGACATAACGTAATAAATATATTTTAAAACTTTTTAGCCAACATACAATATTAAAATGGCGCCAAAGAATGAAGAAAAAATAAACAAAAACAAAAGAAAACGCAAAGCATTCCATTTTTGTAATATTTTTTTTTTATTTTGTCAACGTTATTTTGGACTACGGTGTAGTTTTACAATATTCCTACTGAGGGCCATAGTGATCGAGACATCTGACGGGAGGAAAATGCAAAATTATTTTAGATTATCGTTGTCTTTGAAATAAATGAAACACGAATTACTGTACTTACAAAAATTAAATCTAGATTAACATGAAATGAAACCCGAACGTACATAGATAAAGAATCTATTTAATTTACACCATTAATAGTCTGCAACATAAATTATAATTACCTGTCTGTAGTTATAGGTACCTGTGACGCAGTGTAGCCAATTTAGGAGTTTCTCCAAAATTTAGAGGTAAAAAATTGCACCGGGGTTGTTTTAGGGGGAAAAATTGTTTATGGGTTTTTTAGGGCTTTTTTTCTTTAATAGCATTATTTAAATACTGTAGCGTTCATCGAAACACATTATCACGCATAATGCTAGTCGGTAAAAATACCGTTTTGTACTGGGGCGCGCCTCGCGCTTCATCATGCGATATCGTTTATCTCTCGCCCGACAGTCGCTTAACGCTTACCAATTCCTATCTTTAATTTATCTCTGCGTCCTTTTACTTCTTAATAATAAGATTTAAACTCATTCTATAATATAAATAACGTTTTATAAAGTTTCGTTTAAAGACTTGGAGAAATCATACCTATATCTTTAAATATCATTTGAATAATTTATCTTGTTTTTATTATTTTCAAAGTTATCTATGAATTATTATTATTATTTTCAAAGTTATTTATTATTATGATTAAATAATAACTATTTAATATTTTTATGGTATTATTGTAATAATTACATATAACATGTAATTATTATAATAATAACCATAAAAAAGTTTTTTACGCTACTCGTAATCATTTAAAAAAAAAGTATTATATAAAAACCCACATTTTTCACATCGTCAGATAAGGGGTTTTAGAGGTTTTGAAATTACTCTTAGGGGGATAAAATTTCAAGTGTTGGCAGCACTGCTGCTGCTGACTGCTGTGATCATAGAGTATATTGCTCCATATACAAATAAAATACAATCGTCAATCATAGAGTAAAACCCTTTACTACAATCTGTCAAACAAAGTCAACTCACACTTCACCACAGTCAGTTTTATTTGTCATCCACATCCATGCAGGCAGTCTTAATACATATAAAATCTTATTAGTCGGTGCCTTAGCTTAGTGTGTTATAACTACAAATAGCTCTTTTACTTGTTTTATTAATCATTCTTAAAAGTACATTTTGTGTACTTAATTTCGTCAAGTACTTAAATAATACAAAATGAATCCATACCAAGTAAGTAGATCGTTTATGTGTTTCTTTTATGTAGTTTGCTTGTTTTGTTTATCACAAAATCAATGGATTATACTCAACGGAAAGGTAATGTAAATGTTTTTATGACGGTTTTTGTTTTAAGGGTCCGCCACGTTACCTTCACAATATTGGATTTAGCAACACCGCCCCACAATCATTTGGGAATCCTATGCCAATGCAAGGTCTACCAACGATGGGTTATCCAGCACCCCAACCTGGTTATCCCAATCCCAATACTGGATCGGGCTATCCTCAACAATCTCAAGGCTATTCTCAACCACAAGGTTATCCACAATCCAGTGGTTATCCTAGCCAAGGCTACTCTCAACCTAACTCTGCTCAAGGTTACCCTTCTGCTCAAGGTTATCCTGCTCAAGGTTATCCTTCTGCTCAAGCTTATCCCACTGCTCAAGGCTACCCCTCTGCTCAAGGCTATCAAACGGCTCAATCACATCCTACATCTACATATCCTCAAGGGTCTAGTTATCAACAACCAAACCAGTATCAAGGATATCCCCCCTCAGTACAAAGTCACCAGGCTTATAATGTGTCATCAAGCCCTGTCCGTAATGTACCAAAGGTAAAGTTAATTTCTGTTCTCAATGTTGAAGCTAAATGTAAATTTTTATTTTGTGATAAGCAAAACATTGGTGTATTGTTTTCTAATTAATGCTTTTTTATTTGTGTTTACTTTAATAACATGCTTCTTATATCTGAATATATATGATTAAAAAATTATGAATATTATAAACAATTCTAATAGTAAAATACTACTAAAAGATATTATATTCTACTTATTATATACTCAATACTGCTCTTACTGACAAAAATCACTAAGCTTATTTTAAAACAATATGCTTATTTTGGTGATATTTTTAATTAGACTAATATATATAAAAATTATAATATGTGTCCATCCCATTTAATGTGAAAGTTTGTATAGGTTTATAATAATTTAATGTATTTTACAATTATCAAAGTGCAGGTAAAACTGTTTTTATACAGCGCTCCTATGATAAGATGTTACAGTAGTAATAATAATGGGCATTATAGCTACTTTGAATGTTCAACAGACAAACAGCTAAAATTTAACATTTGTATGTATTAAACATTTTGTTGTGATATCTTGTTAGGAATATCCATTTCTTGCATAAATGAATCATTAAAGTTTTCTGGTTTTACTCATACATTGCACAACTGGTGAGTCATAATTTACACACTATTGTACTATTTTCATCAGATAACATACTGATAAGTGGCATCAGTCCAATTGCTTACGTTAAATGAAAGCACATGAAATGAAAATATTGATTGCACTAGCAATTCACCCTTGATTTGCTCAGATTATGTCCCTAGGTGTCTTAATGGTTAGTTTGGATCTGTAAAACTCTCAAAAAACAAATCTATTCCCATGGGATTCTTGCAATTTTCTGGGATAAAAAGTAATGTACTATTGCAGACTATAATCTATCTCTGCCAAATTTCATCCAGATCCGTTCAGCCGTTGTGGCATAATTGAGTTACAAGCATCCATCCAAACTTTCACATTTATATGAGATTTATAGGATTTAGTTCATAAGTTAAATATTTTTATCTCTTAATAAGTAATTCAAAGTCAATATAAATATAATAACAATTTGACACAAGTTGAATTGTGGAATAATTCTAGTTTTAGTAATTGATTGATTGATTTTATTAACAAAATTTGTCAATTATTTAATAATATTATAATCACAATAATAGACCAGATAATACGGTCGAAGTGATACTCTAAAGCCACCATTATGATTTAATAATATTTTTTGTTTCAAGAAGGAAATTTCCTAAAAGATAATTATCCTGTGTAAATTGTTAAACTGTTGTGCTTCTTACAATTTTATTTTTACTAAACCATAAATATATATAAGATATGTTGTGTATGGTTAGTTCAAATGAGTAATTTGTATTATTAGAGCTTATCATTAATAACATATTTAGCGGAAACTGAGTTTTGAGCGGAAGCTACACTAAATAAATTGTATTGTATTAATTAGATGTTTTATTCAATTTTGGTAGAATAAAAGCTCTTGAACTCTTCTAACTATGATTCTTTATAAAAAAACTGGGATTATGATTACTTGGTTGCTATAAAAAAATAAACGTTACCACAATGAGAAATGATAAATAAACTTAATCAACCATTTTATATTATAAATTATAAATTATAATCCTTTCTCCTGTATATTTGTATTTGAGATAAGACTTGAAAAAGTATCATACATTTACGAACGTCTATAAGCGGCTGGTACCGTACCTATACGCAGTGACTCTATTCAAGGAACAGTTTACTGCAATTACATTGTTATGCTCACTTCGTCTCTCCGCATACATTTATCACAATAACGAACGATTCAGTCTTGGCTTTGGTCCCCGTTATGGATGTAGTTCGTACAAAAACCTTTGTTTACACAATATCTCGTTAATTCGTGCTATGTGTGGTGATGAAATTGTTGCGCGCGAGTTTCCTTATCCTTGTGCGTTTCGTCCGTGAAAGTTCTGTTTGAAATAATTAATATGTCCTCGGTCACATCGAATTCGAGTATGCGCAGCGTCTATAGAGCGTCAATTGGCATACGGCGTGGGTTCAAGTCGTTTCGATATACGGTAGATAATGGCCTTTCTCGGCATATTTCCTTCGTGCACTAATAAATTGCATGAGACGTTATATTAAGACAAACATGTTGCACCAAAAATATTTTCTATTTTCTATAATTTGTATTTCAACTTTTACGTTTACAGCAATATATCATGATTACGTTTGCTGCAATAGTTAATTATCAATTTTTCTTACGTTTAATCTTTTATATACATAATTATAGTCAAAGAATATGTACAAAAGTGAAATTCCTTTTGTTATATAAAGCTCTTCTTTGTGTCTAACCACATAGCTTTCAACCATCATAACACAACGGTATTATATCTCATATCACATACATTTATTACATTTTAACGAAATCAAGATCTCATAGTTTTCTTTTTCCTGCAGTCAAAGCCAACGGTTGTGCCAGTAAACCCCTTCGACCCACGCGAAGATGCAGCGATCCTTCGCAAGGCGATGAAAGGGTTTGGAACAGATGAGAAGGCAATCATTCAAGTATTGACCCGTCGCAGCAACGAGCAACGTCTACGCATCGCCTTTGAGTTCAAGACTTTATATGGAAAGGTATGTCAGCATTTCTTCAGAATAGGAATTATAATTTTAATAAATATTACATTTTAACTAAATAAGGCATACCGACTTCAATATCACTTAAAAGTAATTCTAACAAAGGGATGGGATTATTTTTTGAAATTTTTATATGGTACCTACCTTTGACGTAAATAATAAAAATAATTGTAAAAAAAATATTATGAAATTCGATTTATAATAGGTAAGTTACTGCAAAAAGTACACACAAAAATAAACAACCATATTGACTACTTCTTTATTTTGGAATTCGTACATAATTATAAATTAAAAATTTAAAAAACCCCCTACGCAAATTAATTGTCATTTAACGATTACACTGGCACGCGTGAAGCACTTATCGAGTAATCATACGCCAAAATGCCTTACATCATTTTGGAAAAGAGCTGATACACTCCTGGATCGATATTAACCACACATAGCTAAGAACCACCGCAAAGAAACTGGCTTTCAAATGAAAAAACCGCATTGAAATCGGTCCATCCGTTTGAGAGCTACTATGCCACAGACAGACACATCTCTTTTTGCGTCGGGGGTTAAAAAAATCGAATTCAATGTAAACTTTAATGAAAGAAGATCCATAAGTAGCAATTACTATACAAAAACTGACCAATTTCACTAAAACGATTAGTGTATTTATATAATTCGAAGTAATAGTGATCGATTTGTCCTTGTAGTTTCTAGTACAAGGCCTGTGCATTAAGTTTTAATTAAACGTAGCTTAAGGTATATTTTCCAATATTCATTCAGTTTAATCAGATGATTTCATACATGCATTTTACTACTATACATTAATTATTATTATATGCGTATAAAAAAACTTCATACTAGCTAGCTATGATCTCGTATCCTGCGGATACCCATTACCCATATATTAGATATTATTCCAAGATATTTTCAACCGACTTCAAAAAGGAGGAGGTTCTCAATTCGACTGTATTTTTTCTTATGTTTGTTACCTCAGAACTTCGTCATTTATTAACCGATTTGGACAATTTTTGTTTTATTTGAAAGGGTATACTTCCAGATTGGTCCCATTTAAATTTCAAAAAAAAAAAAAAACCACCTCTAAGGGTGGAAAAATAGCTAATAATGAATTTAACCTACTTCTAATTGTTATATTGACTTGAAACTTTGCAAGTCTTTCTATTTCCGTTGATAGTACAGTGGTTCGGTATTGTTGACCTGATCTGATGGAAAGGCCAGAAGGTGGATAGGTGGAACTCTTTAACGACTAATAGTAGATACTTTGAGTTTGGGCTTATTTTGTTTGGTTTGACAAGCCTAACACTTTAGAATTCTTACTTTGCTACTACTGTCTACACTAAAAAGGTTCAATAAAAACTTTTTAACAAAAAAATAAAAACCGACTTCAAACAAAAGCACTAAAAAGTAAAAAATAACTGATTGGTAGTTTTCATTTACTATACATACCTAATCAAATATTTTCGAAGTCGGTGTGCTTTGCTTTGTATGGGCTGGCACCGATTTCGAAAATATTTGATTAGGTATGTATTCAATAGGTAGGCTTTAATTACTTAGCCAAAGCACACCGACTTCGAAAATATTTGATTAGGTATGTATAGTAAATGAAAACTACCAATCAGTTATTTTTTACTTTTTAGTGCTTTTGTTTGAAGTCGGTTTTTATTTTTTTGTTAAAAAGTTTTTATTAATTTATTTATTAAGATTTATTTAATTTATAATAATTATAAAGTGCATATATATACTCCTTGATCTAATAACAAATTAATTGTAGAGTAACAAAACATGTATGTACAATGTACATATTAAATATTACCCATGCTCGATATATAGAAGAGGATAAAATATTTCATAATCATGGTCCGGAAAAGATTTTTATTTAAAATGTCAAATATTGGCGTAAATCTAAAAAAGAATTACATTTTATCCTATTAATTTCTCCGCTATCTAATTTTTTTCGTGAAAATTGTTAAACATTAAGTTCTACATAAGAAAATGCTCTTTTTTTTTAAATTTCTTTGACAATTAACCCCTCAATAGAACAAAGTTAAAATCAGTTCAGGCGTTAAAATAATCGCGAAAAAGAACAAAACAAAAGAAGCTAATGGTTGTTTGAGCTTTGATACCTATACAATATGATTTTAGTAAGCGATTAATTAATCAGATTTGACATATTACTTTTATATATAATAACCATTAAAAAATTTAAAATTGAAATCAAAATATAGATAAACCTATCATTTGAATTATTCTTATTATTTATTACTTTTTTAAATTTACCATATTACATTTCTTTTCTATATTCTTTGTAAAAATTCAGTAAGCCAATAAGTAATTTTTATATGTAAATTGTTTTACTTTATCATTCCACTAGCTTTTGTTCGGTTTTTTCGTTCGTTCCAACTGTCGCTTTATAGTTTAGATATAAAATACAAGATTTTCAATTAAATTGTATTTTCTTCTCAGGCTAAAGGATTATATTGACGGAGCCCGACAAAGAATGTCAAAGCCAAAAATAGTAGTGTTTTGCCGTTTATGCTACTATTCTCGTCTTTGCCACACACGATACATTGTTTACTATCTTCTAAGAATGTTTTTTTTTATATAGGTATTAGTCATTGATTTTACAATTTTTGAAAAGAAAATAGGTATTAATAATTAAAGTAAAATTATATTATAAAAAAACCCGTTAATAAATATTTTTAAGTTTATTAAAAAAATATCACAACAACTATTTAATTGATTTTTTGCATTGTTTTAAACATTATATCTAATTTGTACCGACTTCAAAAAGGAGGAGGTTCTCAATTCGATTGGTATTTTTTATGTATGTACACCGATTATGCTGAGATTTATGATCCAATTTACTTGATTCTTCTTTAGTTTGGTGCGGGATAGTTGCCATTTGTTCCCTTAAAAATTTAACATAGTTTGGCCCGGTAGTTTTCATTTTATAAACATTTTTCTTTACGTGGACGATGTAATTTTATTTTAGTTTGTGTACGGATTTTTTATAAAAGTTAGTTTTTTATAAAGCTTTTAAAAGTTTCTTTTTATCGAATCCAATCATTTCCGCGAAGAAACATGAGTTTATTGAGTGAGTTACGAGCATATTGACTTTGTAATCAGTCAATGTCAGCTGTATTGTCAACATAATGTTAGCGTCAGTTCAAATAACCATAAAGATAAATATTTAGTTTGTAATAATGATTTTCACAACATAATTTAAATTATGTAACAGTTACTACTTACGAGTAAGACTTAATTTTTTATGTAATTGTGTCTTTGTATGGTAGTGGTAACCCAATGGAAAAGCGCTCGCTTGGGAAACCGAGTGAAGCGGTTTCAAATCCCGGGTCTCGCACCTGTGATATTTTCATGTGCGAATCATTTTTAACACATAACCCTTACTTACGGTGAAGGAAATCTGCTTGTCTGAGAGAACCTAGCAAGTTTTCGAAAGACATGTGAAGTCGTCCGCCAACCCGCACTTGGCCAGCGTGGTGGACTACGGCCTGATCCCCCTCGTATTGGGAGGCCCGTGCCCAGCAGTGGGACGTCAAAAAGTCTTTGTAAGTCTTGTACTTACGAGGATTCCACACGAGTTTTTCTTCACCGTAAGACAAGTGGTAATCATGTTGGAAATGATTCGCACATGAAAATGTCAGGGGTGCGAGACCCGGGAATTCAAACTACGTCGCTCCATTTCCCAAGCAAACGCGTTACCACTGGGCTACTACTGCCTTTAAAACTAATAAGAGAGATACTATTTGAAATTTTGAAAAGTTTCCTTAAACTTTCACTAATGGAAATTATGTTGTTTTATCTAATAATACCTACTCTTTGGATGATATTTTTAATAGTTTTTGTGGGTCATATCAGTTTCGATCGGCAGGCGGGGTGTGTAGTGTAGGTAAAGTTATATGTTGTTTATTCCCTAAAGGTAGTTCACACCCTTTTATGTATATTAGAATTATTCCTTGACGTAATGAATTTTATGAATATGGTTTCCAACGTTTATTCAGGTCAAATTCAGTAGTATGCTAATTGCTAATGTACACAAATAAATAAAATTAAAGTGTCTGTTTGTAATGTCAAAATAACAGCCTATTACTAAATGGATATGAAATTATATACGGTACCTATTTATAAGATACACACAGTTTTGATTTTTTTGTGGCTGTCTGTTTGTTCCGGCTAATTACCGAAACGGCTGGACTGGCCTTGAAGAGACTTTCACTGGTAGATAGCTGATGTTATATGGAGTAACTTAGGCTACTTTTATTTTGGAAAAAGGATTAGGGTCCGCTCAAAAAGATTAAAACGTACCTACCTATTATAATAAACGTATGAATAAAATAGTGTCAATATTATGATCTAAAATAGCACCATGTTTTTTTTTGGATATAAAGGAAAAACAGTTTAACAGAAAAACCTTCTTCATAACTTATTTGAAAACTCATAAAATATCTACATCCTAGTATATAAAATAATATATATATTTATCTAATTAATAAAAATTATATATTTTATATTTAAAATATCGTGGTAGCTATCTGTTATGGCGTTTTAACGAATGCTAACTTTTTAACTATTTACTTATCTCTCAAATAGTGTCAAAAACACATATGAAAAACATTGAAAGCAATGATGGGACTATTATAAATTCGATTATAATGTTTTATGAGTATTGTACAACGCAATATTTATTGAAAATATTGTGCGTAAGCGTTTTTAAAGTATGAGCATACTAATTAGCTGTTTCAAAATATATTAATATATTTAGGGATATATTTCCCTATTTAAGCATGGAATACTTCTTTAAAATGTATATGGGACTAACTTCGAGTAGACTAAAAATATGGAATCTTTTAATTAAGAAAAGAACTATAAAAATTAGTTTATAACTGACGAAGATAACTATCAACATATATTATAGCGTGTACCATGTACATCCTCTCAAATCAAAATCGAATTTGGTTAATAAGGTAGGTGGTAGTTATAAATACTACTATATACTTCATAGAAAGGCACCAAATAATGAATGCGATTTTCTCCCAATAGGATCTTGTGTCAGACTTGAAAAGCGAGACAAGTGGGAAATTTGAAGATCTGCTAGTGGCCCTCATGACGCCACTACCACAGTTTTACGCTAAAGAACTACACGACGCGACAGCTGGAATCGGTACTGATGAAGATGTCCTCATCGAGGTTATGTGTACTATGTCCAACCATGAAATTAATGTCATCAAACAATCGTATACTGCAAGTAAGTTTATAATTTTTTTAAATGTTCAGGCCATAGCCTACCATAGTATACAAAAATATACAATAATCGTCATAACGATTATTTTTATTAAATTTTTTATTATCTCTTGTTTTATATTGCTTTTCTTACCTTTTTTTATCATTTTTTAATTTTTGCCTAAGTGTTACACAGATAAATATTAACGTTACATACGTATTATAAATCTCAAATCTTCCGATACGAATAACTTTTCGTAGTACTCTGAAAGTTTTAAGAAATCACCCGGAGCGTGTAAACCAAACCTTACCAGTCTTATAACAATTGATATAGAAATATATAAATTACTAGCGACTCCCACTCGCTTCACTTCGGGTTTCGCCCTAGTGAAAAAGTCAATCAAATCTATCCTAGGAGCCGTACATTTTTGCAGGATAAAAAATTATAAACCTATGTGATAATCCAGACTATAATCTATCTCTGTGTCAAATCTCATCCAGATCCGTTTAACCGTTCTGGCATGAAAGAAACAAGCATCCATCCATCCATCTTCACAAACTTTCATATTTAGGTATAATACTAGCGACCCACCCTCGCTTCGCTCGGGCTCGTCCCTAGGTACATTTAAATTTGTTTGAGCGGAAACCCTAAATCTTTCACTGAAATAAAATTAGCTTAAGTTAGTCCTTATAACATCAGCTACCTGCCAGTGAAAGTCCCGTCAAAATCGGCCCAGATGTTTCGGAGATTAGCCGGAACAAACGACTAGATTAAACATTAGAGTAGATTAGACAGACAGACTAAAATTTTAAAAATTGTGTTTTTCTTATAAATACCGTATATAATTTCATATGCATTTAGTAGAGAAAAAGCTGTTATTTTGACACTTCAAAGAGACACTTCAATTTTATTTACCTGTATATATTAATATAGATAAGCAGATAGACATGTAAGATTCACTTATTTATAATAATCATATTTCCACGGTTTGGTATTATGTAATGTATTCCCAAGGAGGGTTGACGTCAGGCAGGCGGCCGGTCGTAAAACTTTTGCCAAATCCTATCAGCAGTACACTGAAGATGTACTGCGCCGACCCCAAGTGATTTGGGAAATGGGCAGGGAGAAGAAGAAGGTATTATGTAATGTACTTTTGAGAAGTGATTTTGAAAACATACAGTGTTCTATCTGGCATGTAATGTTTTATAAAGCATCGTTATTGACATGTATTATTTTCCTATTTGCTCAAGGAATATGCCTCGGCTTCTACGATTTATTTGGCTGGAATTTAAAAAAATCTCATTTTAATGAATCTTTAAAAGTCTTAAAAATATATGTGTATGTATTTGAAAATGTAATTTTTAAAATGAAATTGATTTTCTGTTGTATGTTGTAATTCATTATTAATTTACCTGATCTAATGCAAAAATGGCCATAATACTAAGTGTAGGATACAAGCAATTCTAAGTGAATGAGTAATATGGTATCGTTACCGTAAATTCAAATTCCTGCTTTGTGTTAACATCCTTGAGTAAAAATGAACTATTTCCTCCACACATACAAATGATCCTAAAATAAGTATGTTCTTCATCTTATATTTAATCTTTTATAGGTATGTATAAATGTATTTTTTGTTTCTGTCTGTCTGTAATGTTATGAAACTTTGTTGAGATGTTGTGCAGTAGGTATATGCCACAAACATATAATTCTGAGATATCACCATTAAGATACGATTATTTAATACTAAAAACAAATACAACTCTATCCCTCGGGAACCGTACATTTTTCCGGAATAAAAAATAGCCTATGTACTATTCCAGATTATAATCTATCTCTCTCCCAAATTTCATCTAGATTCGTTCAGTCGTTCTGACTTGAAAGAGTAACAAACATCCATACTCACAACCTTTCACATTCATAGTATTTATATACAAATTTTAAGTAAACCAGGTATTATGAGTAAGTAGTTTTAGGTGTATAATGAGTTCTATATGTGTATTACTTGAAGCCAGGGCTGTTACGGTAATACTTGTATTGACAATGCATCCAAGATTTAAGATTCCAAGGTTCTACCCCAACTGAGCTTAGGGCAGTATTATTGTTATGTAAAAACATTTATTTCGTCCGTGTTAACGGATTTATACTAGTGTTTGCCGAGTGCTTGAAATTCAATCATAATCATTATTGAAAATTTCAGAAAATATATGTAAAAATTTACCTATGTATAAAAAAAGGTAACTGTTTTCAATTTTTTTTACTGAAAACACTAAAGCTCGTCAATAGCTACTGAGCAAAAGAAAACAAAAAGAGAATCAGATGACAAGGACAAGGAAAGGGCACTGAAGTGTTTTGTTTTTGCCTTTGTATACATAGATAAATAATAGTCGTATTATTTGCATGGCGTTTATTTTTCAAGTAGTAACTACAAGTTTCAGTTTGTATGGTGCGGGGCGCCGCACAAAGGTAGCGGCAACTATGTTTTAGGATCTGTCGATAATAATTGATAATCTTACACATAACTTCTGTATTTGATACAGCTGATTTTTAAAAATTGACTAAATATTGAAATATTTAACGCTCAAATGAAATTCGATTCTATGTAACTGCGCTTAAAATTATTTTTCATTTTACATCGGAGAACGCGCGCGCTTAAAACGTATTAATATTGCTAATTTAGTACGTTTTTGTTACCATGACTCGTGTGTACAGTGTAGGTAACATTGTAAGGAAATTAGTATGTAAATAAAAGGAGGCAGTCGATTTTGACCAACTTTTGTTATATCAATTTGGAACTTTGTTAGATTTCATCCAGATGACAATCCAAATAATTGGTCGTATTACTATGGCGGCTAATGTGATAATGGAGGCGGATGGTTCTAGAAACCCTTTGTTTCTTATTATAGCTTGTAAACACATCATTAAGCTCAATTGTTTTGATCGAGAGGGTTTTTGAAGTTTACTCTTTAAAATTTAAGAGGAGTGAAATTAATAATAAAATTTTAATAATAAAATTATCAAACATTATGTTTCTTGTAAGAGTAAACTCCAATCGTGCGTCAGAAGCAGAACTGACACACACATACTTTTATATTTTCTTTTTATTTTAACGAGTTTTATGAGGGTATGACGATGGAGCCGCAGAGGAAGGAGTGCGTTACTAATAAATTCTACTAATTTTTTATTTTTAAATTCGACCTTCAATTAATTAATTTATTTTTATGATTCACTTTAAATGTTTAAAAATTAGTGGAAAATGAATAATTTATTTGGTTTAAAAAGATAATTTGGTAATTAGTTTTTTTTTGTTTATATTAGGTAATAACTAATATACAAAATATTATAAGGCAGTGGTAGCCCAGTAACGGTAACGCGCTCGCTAGGGTAACCGAGTGAAGCGAATTCAAATCCTGGGTCTCGCACCTCTGATATTTTCATGTGCGAATCATTTCCAACATGATTACCACTTGTCTTAACGGTGAAGGCAAACATCGTGAGGAAACCTGCATGTCTGAGAGAACCTAGCAAGTTTTCAAAAGACATGTGAAGTCCGCCAACACGCACTCGGCCAGCGTGGTAGATTGTGGCCTGATCCCCCTCGTACTGAAGGGAGGCCCGCGCGCAGCAGTGGGACGTTAAAAAGGGCTGAATACAATATACAAAATGTGTATTGTATATTTAGTTATTTCCCATATAGTGTTTACATTATGAGATGTCGTTACAAGGCCAAATATCAAGTCGATGAATAGAATATAAGTCTGTTTTTCATTTCAAAAGTTATGGATTCATAGATACATAGATTTGAAATATTTTTATATTTAAGATCTAAATTGTCAAAAACAATAAATATTTGTTAAATTTACCAAAAAGGAAATATTTAATTATTTCCAAAATATAAAGTATTGAGAAATGTGTGCTTCCTAGATTAAGATCGTCTCAATCGGAAAAGTGAATATAAAATACGTTTATAGAATGGTTTATTGCGATGAAAAAAAAAATGTAGGTATGTCATTGAACTTATCAAACAAGTTATATACGTATTGTAAAACACAATGCCAGTTTTTTGTTCGTTTTTTTTTGCTTATAACTGAGAACCATTGGTCTGATTTACATTTTTTTATTTACTATGAAGATATGTTATCTTGACAGCTTTTAGTACACACTACATATATTCGTTAAGGTAATAACATAGAGTATCTCTAAAAAATTCCATATTGAAATGAAATAAAAATATTAGTGAGTACATACCATCGTGAAGGTTCAGTTGTACCTATTTAAATTATAATACACACGAGTACATTTGTGCCTATACTACTATATATACATTTTTTGTACTTTCCTATTCTTATTAAAATTTGTGAGCGAAGTCAATTTAAGTACGCTCTCAGTTTTTATTTTACCAATAAGAGAATATTAAAAAAAATATCACACGTTATTTATCCGCCACAGGAAATATGTGATTCATATTAAGCATCTACAACATAAAGAGTGTGCATATGACAATTTTGTACCTAGACATAGTTATTTATCTCAGAATCTGTGAAAGCTACCACTTTGATATTTAGAGAAATGGCACTTCAAATGATTGTCAAATTTGAGAACACGATTGGTAAAAATGTTTTGCACACATTGCTATTTATCTGATTCACTATTTTTGTAGGTTTTTTGTTTCCTCAGGAAGCCTAGAAGTATTTCGTCAGTTACCGAATTTTAATTTTCGGTTGATTGTTTAATTAATTTATAGTGAACTAGCGACTCACCCTTGCTTCGTTCGGGTTCGTCACCTGGTTGATTCCCCATGCAAACTTTCATCCCCATTTTCGCCCTATTAAGGGTTTCCGGGATAAAAAGTATCCTATGTAGGCTATGTCCTTCGCCGGGGTCTCAAACTATCTTTTTACCAAACATCTAAATCGGTTCAGTAGATCCAGATATTAGGTACCCCCTACAAGTTACAACCTCACAAACTTTGCCTCTTTATAATATTAGTGTAGATTAAAAACTGTTTTGACGCTTGAATACGTTGAGCTATCTATCGCTCTATACTTCTCTCTCACGATAAAACATTATCTTGTCATCCCGTTCCTCCGAATCCGAATCGTAGCGGTCTCATGACGCACTCTTACTCGTAAGTCCAGTTCTTTCAACTTGAGTCAAGTACACACTGCACGATAAGGATTTTAAACCTGATTCTAATTCTTTATTGCACATATTTTTGTTGACCTTGCCACTTTGTTAGTAAAACTTTAGTGTTTCTTTTTTTTCTTGTGTTATCGGCGATCAATCTTATCCCTCAAACTAAGGAATAATATAGTCTAGAGTGTCATAGAATTAAACATGAATCCAAACAATAATATTTACAAGTAAAAATACACGAGAATATATTATATGTATTGGTTTTAAATCTAAAAAAATGTATATTAACTTAACTAATACGTATATATAAAAATATTATTTAAAGAAAGTAAACTAACTGCATGGCAAACTCGAGAATAATATGAACAGTAAATCATGCTACTATTTTTGACTTTGACGTTTGGTTTTCCTCCGTACCCACACCACTAACACGTGGTACAAATTTATTAAATGTTAAAACATACGTATCACGATGGTAATCATACGTCCATAAAAAAAATTCCTACTTCCAAGTGAGTCATCAATAACGCGTTGTTATGAAGAGGAAAATGCTAGTTATATAGGGCTCTGTTGTTCCGTTGCCAAATGGCTTACAAATCACTTTTTGTATAGGATTTTCCTAGTTTATTATTATTATTAATATGTTTTTATTTAATACTAGCGACTTACCTTCGCTCCGCTCGGGTTCTTGTATGTATGCTAGTATGTTTTAAATAGATATAAATAGTTATTAGCCAGCGTTAGCCATGTACATTTTTAATTATTTTTTTCGTGATTTTTTCCGATGTTTTGATAATTATTCTGCTACTCGGGGAAGAGATAAATCCAGCAAGTCAAAAACCATGAAAATCGGTCCAACAGTTATCGAGTTATAAGTGTTGTAACAAATTTATATATATATATATATATATATATATATATATATATATATATATACACATACATGCAAGAATTGCCCGTTTAAATATATTAGATACCCAAAGTGAGTTGCATTTGTAGAAATTCATAACTTATAAAATCTAAGGTGGACATTAGTTAATGAATAAAAGTGTAATATATACTATCGCCCTAATTCTCTAACCCCACAAAATCAAAAGATACCAGTAAGATCTCTATCTCGCTATCTGAAAGTCTCATTAAAATCGGTCCTACCGTTTCGTAGAAAAAGACAAAAATCTTTTCAATATATTTTAAATATAATATCTTTTCAATATATATTTTAATATTATAAATGTAAAAGCTTACATTTTTGGATGTTCGGTATGGATGGAGATGTTTGCATTAATCACGCCAGAACGGTTGAACGGATCTGGATGAAATTTTGCACAGAAACAATTATAGTCTGGAATAGCATATAGGCTACCTTTTATTCCGGAAAAATGTACTGTTCCCGTGGGATAGATTTGTTTTTTTTTTGAGGATGATCTGCTAGTAGTCCATATGCTATTCTAAATTCACAGACCGTAAAATTTTATTTATATTATGTGAGTATTAGATATGAAATGTGTTTAGTCCATTTTACAGGATAATGTTATTTTGTTATGTTTACAGTGTACGGAACACTTCTCGAGGATGACTTACGCGGCGACACTTCGGGCAACTTTAAGAGACTGATGACTTCACTTTGCATGGTAATACATATTTAATGTTATATAGTAAAGTTTATACAGAATACATGTGGTCAAGTGGTGGTACAAGTGAGCTTATTGAATCTGTTTTCTTATCGCGTAGAATTTTTGGATTTAAAAATATTCATATATGTATTGTGAGTTCTCATGCTAATTATTTCTGAACTGACCCGCTGGTCTAGTAGCTAGTTTGTACGTTTTCAAATCCGGAGGTCCTTGTTTCAAGTCCTAGATGGGACTAAGTATAGTTTGAGTGGAGTTTTCATTTAACAAATTTTCGGTAACAGACCGGAATTGGGATGTTGGTGGTGTTTCACCCCATTGTTTCGGAGGGCCGTAGGTTCTGCTCGTGATCTATCATCGAGTTGACGTGTCGTTTCATCAGATTTTGGGAGCGAGAAGATTAGAGCGCACTTGTATTTATATAAACATTGCATTATAATATCGCCTGAAAATTTCATCAAAATCGCTCCAGCAGTTTTGGAGTCCATAGGGAACAACATAACCACATCGATTTTTATATAAGTATGTATAGATAATTTTTTTATTTATTTACAGGGTAACAGAGCTGAAGATTTCCATGTAGATCAAGAGAGAGCCAGAGAAGACGCTAGGAGCCTGTTGCAAGCAGGTATTTATTTTATTTATTTGACGACACGTTTGGCTCAGTTTGTAGTGACCCTACTTGCTGTGCTAACGGTCGCGGGTTCGAGTCCCGCTGGGGGCATTCATTTGTGTGATGAGCACGTATGTTTTTACTCCAGTCATGGGTGTTTATATTTATAATATGTATGTATTTAAAGTTATACATGTGTAGTGTATCAACTATCTGGTATTCGAAACACAAGCCTCGTAGCTTACTATGGAACTAGATGATGCTGTGCTTCGATCAACAATACTACTAGATACCGGGTCGGCGTAAGAAATCTGTCTCGGTAAATATAAGCTCACTTACAAAGTGAGCGTATATTTCGATTAGTTCTTTTGAAACACTGCCAACGTAAACACGTTCACAATGCCGCAATATATATTAAAAAGTTGCAAAAATAATGCGCGAATAAGAAATTTTTCAGACGGAGTGCCTTATTTTCGGTAAATATATGTAGATTAAGTTCAGTCAATATTTTAAGATTTAACCTATGAAACAATATAATAATAAAATTTTGAACAATTTTAAATCCTTTTAAATAAAACTATCTTTTCGGATTTTTTCGCGGATTTATTTGGATTTTTGGTTCCCGACGTTTTGAATGCTTTACAGCAAAAATCAAATAATAAATCTAACAGACAGGTAGATGTAGTAAGTTCTTACTGTGTGGATCAAAATGACAGCATTTCAAATTAATATTTTTCATTTAGGTATATAGTAAATAGTGTTGCTTAGTAATTTGTGTTTTTTAAGTAATAGCAAACTAAATTAAAATTATTATTCTTAATTAATTTTAACTTTTTAAATTACACAAAGCAATTATGTGGCTTAAATAATTAATATTATATTTTATATTTTTTTCTTTAAGGTTATAATATAATGATGGCAACACTAAATATAGATTACTAATTAATATTTCTATAATTGTAATAATTATAACAATAACAGTAAAATTAAATATATATTATTCCATATTCAATCATAAAACTAATTAAAATTATAAAAATGTTTAAGTTAAAAATATTGTAAAATATTGTAAGGTACTTTGGTGCAATTTTTCAAGTTTTGATTTTATTATTGTTATTTGTGGGTAGGCCGTCTGTAACAACTATACCTTCGAGACATCTAACACCTCAGTCTCTCCCGTGACCGTGATTACTATAAAGCATTCGAAACGTCGGGAACTAAAAATCCAAATAAATCCGCGAAAAAATCCGAAAAGATAGTTTTATTTAAAATGTCAAATATTCGCGTAAATCTAAGAAAGTATTATGTGAATTTTAAATCCGCTAAGAACGTTGGCCCAGGTCGGCCAATATATGCGCCAATTCAAAGTAGCAAACAGAAACAAAACAACGATTTAGTTCACAAAGCAAGAACGGGAAAAAGTGTTTTATGGTTCTTGATATAAGGTAGATTTTACGATAAAGATTATAAAACTTACGAAGTGATCGTAAATGTATGATGATAATTCGAAGATTTGTGACTTTATTACAAAGTGGTGTTGATTAGGTTGAAAATAAAACTATTATAAGACTTTGTCTTGGTTCGTTAGTTGAGTTAGTTCCGTTGAGTCGGGTGGACTTTAAGAGTGCACCCAAATGAGGTTAGGTTATATATGCGAGGTTAATAAAAGAAGAAAGGACTATAAGAGTCATGGGTCGAGCTTGATGGTTTTGCTTCTGCTTGCGGCGTGGCGCTTGCCTGGTGGGTGAAGTTTACCAGGCTCTTTATCGCCTCGTTGTCTCTATGAGAGACATTGCCATTTTTAGATAGTAGTCTATGATGGCCCTGGGTGTTATCACTAGTCTATTATTACCTATTTCACATACATAAAAGTTTCAAATCGATATAACTATTATTAGTTAAAATCTATTTGCAATATTTGATTAAATAACTATTTGAACATAAATTCCATAACAATTTCATATCACACAAACAATTTCAGGGGAACTCCGTCTAGGTACAGACGAGTCGGTATTCAACGCGGTGCTCTGTTCGCGTTCCTTCCCACAACTGGCCGCCATATTCCAGGAGTACCAGTTCCTGACCGGACACGATATAGCTGATGCCATCAAAGCAGAGTTCTCTGGTGACCTCGAGAAAGCTTTACGGGCTATTGGTAAGTGATATGTTATAAGAATGGACTACCTTTTTTTAAATTTAGGTTTTGATATGAGTTCTAGCTGTGTTTTTGTTTTAATTTAAGTTTAATTAAAAAATGTCCTATCATACATATATAAAATAAACATATATAGTAGACATATTAAATAATTCGTCATTATAATAACGGCGAGCGTTTGCAAACAGACGACACCGTTCGTTTTTATTTATAATATAATAATATAGTGAAATTATAATATCACGCCTTTTCCAAAAACCTTGCGACATATATAAATACAGAGACCGATGTAATAATAATCTAATTCTTTTACAGTGAAAGTGGTACGCAACAAGCCATTGTTCTTCGCGGAACGCCTCCATAAGTCCATGAAGGGTTTGGGCACCAACGACCGCCAGCTCATACGCATCATGGTGACGCGCTGCGAGCTGGACCTCGGCGACATCGCCGACATGTTCCACTCCAAATATGGTGAAACTTTGCAGAGCTGGATAGAGGTGAGATAAGGATTTATTTCATTCCCAATACAAACTTTCATCCCCATTTTCACCCCCTTAAGTGATGATTTTCGGGATAAAAAGTATCCTATGTCCTTTCCAGGGTCTCATACTAACTTCTTATCAAATTTTATTTAAATCGGTCTAGTAGATCCAGCGATTACCCCCTACAACGCGACGTCACGAACTCATAAACTTTACCTCTTTATAATATTAGTATAGACTAGCGATTCGCCCTCGCCCAGCTCGGGTTCGTCCCTACTTACGTTTTAATGTTTAGTATAGGTTTCTCAGAGATGAGATATTTTCCCACTGAAAAAAGTATCCTATATTTTGTCCCGGATTACCAGCTATCATCATACCCATCAAAATCCCTCCAGTGGTTTTTCCGTGATGCGGTCACAGACAGACAGACAAAAATTCTAAAAACTATAGATTCGGCCTCTGTATCGATAATAATGACTATTTTAGTAAGATTTACAAAAAAATATTTAATGTACAGATTCGACTCAGTTACAATTTTATTATATGTATAGTCAAACACTCCTTCGTCCCCAGGTAATTCTTTAAATTGACATGACATTGACATAAATTTATTTATGAACTGATTGAAAAAAAAACTTAAACTAATTGTTAAGTGAAGCTTACCACAATGCATTAGTGAAAACCGCAGACAAAATTTTGCGTAATTATGAATTTTTTTCATTACTTTCTTGCAGGGCGACTGTTCCGGACACTACAAGAAGTGCTTACTGGGTTTGCTCGGCCTTTATTAGAGAGGCGAAAGTTTATAATTATTTCTTTTTGTATCTGTGTCGTATCACCGTGTTATTCAATCCCACTTACAAAGATCTTTATTTACTTTAATATGTCAAACTCAATTTTTTCTTAAAAATCGCATAAATTTTACAATTCTCATAGGGTTTTCTTATAAATAAAATTTATGTATCTCGATATTTTTCTCGTTTTCATATTGTTGTAAAACTTACTTATTGTCATACATTCGATTCGATGCGAATCGATTAAGTAATCCATTATTTCGCAGTTCAATGCTCTTTATATCTATATGTATACTATAATCGATTTTGGAACCTAAACGTAGGTGCTAAAACCAGTGTAATATTTATAAACTTATATATTAATTCTTACTAATTACTTATATTATTCTTATACAATAGTTCATAATTAAAGGTATATGTAAATGCGCTACACTAGGTTATTGTACGTCTTTGATATATCTCTTATATACTAAAATGATTGAAAATGTTATATTTAGCCTTATAGTATACTAGCGGATCCGGCCACGCGTCACAAACGCGCGTACATATGAACATTTTTATTTTTTGCAAAAAATAAATAAATAATCGGGATTAAATCTATCCTATCTTTTAAGTTGGAACAAATCAAACATTTAAAAAATATATATTAAAATTGGATAAGTTGTTACGGAGTTCATCCCGGACCAACATCGTGATGCGGGGATTTTATATATTAAGATGATATTACACTATACATAATATTAATTGTCTTGACTGATTCATCAACGCCCAACCAAACAGCTGGACCTATAGCTACTAAATATAAGAAACTGCTAAAGAACGATGTTTTAAAATTCAAACCCCCAAAGTGTTCACTTCTTAGGGGTTTACCGCCCTCTCAAAGCGTGATAAGTTTTTTATAGAAAAAGTTTCAGACTATTCGAAACTTTCAGAATGTTTTTATTATTATTATTATAAGTACATACAGAACTGTTGTAATTAGCGTTTTTAAAGTTATAAACGTTTTAATTTTAAGGTTACACAAACTCAAAATATACTTTATACAAATAAACTCTTATTAGCACTTTTGAATTGTAATATTTTTCTATATTACAAACTTAGGCTCGAATTGCAGTTTTGCAAAAAATAGCCGGCGAATAAATCGACGGCTTATTTAAAACTACAAATTGAATTATTTTTATTAACTATTGTACTAAATGCCCCAAATTTATTAACAAAAGATGTTTTTAAATTGTCTATATAAATACATTGTGAAAAGAGATATTGTTCTTTAAAAAAAATTATATAAAATTATACGAGTTATTTAAAGGCGGTATTAAATATTTGTTAATTTAAATAAAAAAAGATTAAATATCTTTTTTATCTATTTAGAAAAACATCTCGCAAAGTAAAGAACAGATTAAATAAAGAAATATAAAAATTACAACCTTGTGACATCCCTCGCTTATCGCGGCACTGCTAGTTTAAACAAGCTTTCTACAATCGATATCGCTGATAGAAAGTCTCTCCCGTAACCATGACGACGCTGAAATAACAGCTTTGTGTGTCCGAAAATCCGAAAAGATAGTGTTATTTAAAATGTCAATTATTCGCGTAAATCTAAGAAAATATTAACGTTCATAGAAAATTAAAAAAAATATGGGAATGATACGATTGACCATCCGATACGTTAGTTGACATTTGCATACATAATTTTGAGTTATATGTATTAGCAATAGCGTTTGTAGACTGCCATCTTGTGTGAGCATATCTAATCTAAAAAGCTATATCTAGTTGCTTTGTGTGTTCACTTTTCGTACATACACATATTATATAAACTATTCATTACTAAGTAAATTAGATACGGTGTTTAAAAAAAATTCGCAAGACTTGAAAAGTTAGAAGTGTCGGTAATTTCATTCGTGCCTTCATGAATAGTAAAAGAAAATACAATGTACTATTAATGATAAAATTACAAGTACATGTTTTTATGATATTTGACGACGCGTAAGTTATAAAATTAATTCATATTAGTTATGATACGCATTTACATTTATATCTATATTAAGGGGTTTTTTTGTTAAATAAACGGATTTATTCTACTATAATTCCATACTGTTTATTTATCTATAAGTTTTGTCTTACAAGGTAAGCGTACAACATAACGATAACATGTGCTATTAGTCATCGATCAAAAAAGTACTAGATACACAATCTCATTTAAATTTTCTCTTAAAACTATCACCAATTATGGTAGGTGATTATTGCAATTGACATAAATTTATAACAATGTATATTAAACCTTAAATGCAAAGCTTAAAAGTTTCATAAAAAAAGCGCGCTCAAATGTTAAAATGAGTGCCCATTCGGTGAGGAAATTTTTTGTCGCTGATTGTGTATCTAGTACTTTTTTGATGGATGGCTATAGTGCAAAATAGTGTATCTTCAAAATTTAACTTTGTGTTAAAACTAAAAAAATACATAATAACAGACATAATTAATAGTAATTTCCGAATTGACTATGCTATCGTTTAAGAAAACAGTATATTAGTTAAGTTTTTATATTAAATATTATTTCAAAAATGTGGGTTATACCATTTTTAAGGTTCCGTGCAAACGGGACTCTTAGATTACTGAGCCTCCGCTGTCCGTGCGTCTGTCTATCAGCGGGCTGTATCTCGTAAACCGTAATAGATAGAGAGTTGAAATTTTCACACAGGGTGTATTTCTATTGCCGCTATAATAATCTCGCCATAAAAAACCAAGGTGACAAATTTCAAAATGAACACCATACAAATAAAAAACTATTAGTACATAGTGTTATAATATCTTGTACGATTGTACGGAACCCTTCATGTGCGTCCGACTCGCACTTGACTGTTTTTATTGAAATGATAGTCAAAACTAAAATTAATTGCTTGATAACTAAAAATATTTTAGTAATTACTATACATATTCGTTTTGTTTTTATCAAACTCAAAATATACGATCTCTCTAATAGGAAATGCACGTTTATTTTGAAAATATTTCTGCCTATCCTGAATCTCGTCCCCACCTTATTTACAAAACTGTTACATTTATACTAAATGTTAGAATAAGTGGACTTAGTTATGTCAAATAAATTCAATAAAGAAGAAATAGAAGAAGCCATTAACAAATTGAATTGAATTGGAAATAATAATTAAAATGTTTTTTTTTTACATTATTAGCATTTAAAATTATTAATTTTGTTATGACTAGGCCTATGTGTGTTTTGAAAGGAGGCCTCTAGAGCAAATGTGACTACTTATATAAAACATTTTTTATTTCATTTATAGGAAAATATTTTTTTTGTTATCTAAATATGGCGTGTCAAAAATCATATATAGTTTTGAATAATATGTTACTGTCAAGTGTCAATTTTTTCCATACTTATATACTTTAAGTCACTTTGTTCTACGAGTAATAGCCTCGTATAATATAAACGATAATCTGTGTCCATATAAACGTATGTTTACTATATTTTATGATTTTCTTGAAAAAAAAAACATTAAAGACATACTTTGTATTTATTATTATATAAATATGCTAAAATACATTTAATATAAATATTTTACACAATATTATTGTATAAGGTCACAATTTGTTTTTACCTTTATATATATTTACGCCGATATTAATGTGGCTTGCTTGTATCTGCTTATATGAACGAAAGTGCTATTTGAGGCCAAGAAAATTTTATAAAACAATGTTATGAGAGATTATTTAAAATGTCTAATAAATGTTCTTATCTATTAAAATGAGTTTTATTTTCCCTTATATGTTGATGCCTAATATATAGTTACACGGTTTAATCATTTTTGAAGTGAAAACTTCTATAGGCAGGTTTGGATGGGGAGTAAATTCATGTAAGTCGTCATCGACATGGTCACGTGACGTGTTAACGCTAACACAGAGTGCCGATAGATGTCAAAACCAGATAAATGTAAACAGTTTTAATTTACAAATTTTAATTTAAGATCAATTTGATTAACCAAAAATAACAACTGTTTTTTTATAGTTTTAAGTTTTCACTTCTGTCGGCAGCTCTCATGACTGCTTTTTTTACGTGAAAATTTGACATTTTATACAAACATATCTTTTCAGATGTTTTCGCAGATTTATTTTGATTTTTGGTCCCCGACATTTCAAATGCTTTACAGCAATCATTGTCATGGAGACTAAGGTTTTAGAGCCTCAAAGGTTATTTTTAATAAGAAAAAAGTAAAAAAGATCTCTTTATCTCTTACAGGTTCATGAATTACAACATAATCAATTTTATTTTTCTGAAACTGATATCCGGTGAATCAGATCTATCAACAAAATCAAAAGGAAAGAAAAAGTAGTAAATATCGAAATAAATTTGATAAAAGTATCCTTATTATTTTTTATAGTAATATATTGGGGATCTCTCTTTCTCACTTCTCAAACTGTGCAAAATGACTATCCTAGATCTTTTATACATAAGCTAATCTAATATGCCCGTAAATACCTACTTGTATTAAAAAAATCCGAACAAGTGCGAGTCGGACTCGCCCACCGAGGCTTTCGTACAAATTTGTAAGAAATCTTGTTGTTTAACTTTAATTTCCAACTTTTTGATTTTTTGGAATATTTCATTTATTTGTTTTTTTGCGGAATTTCGTGATTCTAGGTCAATGGGAACTACCATATAGGTTTTCGACCCAAAACCTATGGGGTACTTCCGGTTAACCTAGAATTGTACTTACAAGTATTCGCGAAAATTTTAATTTGCCCAATTTTTTTATCGTGTTGATTTATGACCTTGATTTTTATACACCTAATAGGGACTATAGACCTCAGTATCTGGTATAAATTTCAACTTGCTAGGTCCACCGGTTCCTGAGAAAATCGGTGGTGACACACGGACAGTTAGACAGACAGACGGACAAGAGAGTGATCTTATAAGGGTTCCTTTTTACTTTTTGAGGTACGGAACCCTAAAAACTATTTATTATATTTTAATATGTCAGTTT